TTTATCAATAAAAATAATATTTTACCTTTTTAAAATCACATTATATATATTATTGTATATTATGTGATTATATAGAGATGTTTCTATTTAGTCACCTCTCTCCATAATCACCCAAAAGTGTTAGCCAAACTGGGTGATTATATGGGAGAAAGACTATATATCTAGTAATAATAATTATACTATCCGGCAACCAATTTTTTATATTAATTAACTATGATAATTATAGTAATGCTTGGATTTATCAATTGCATGTTTAAGAAGTTACAATATGACCAGTAAAATTAGATTTATTACGCTTAGTATACCATTATTATTATATCTGTGCATCTATTATGCGAAAATTAAAAGTATTATATCTAATTTATTTAAGAGATAATAAAGTAATTAAATTTAGCTTTTTATACTGTAATATGTAAAAATATGCATTTTCAAATGATAATTCTTATCTTATATAATATTGAAATTATACTCTTTTTATAACAACAAAGCATTTTGGCCATTTAGAGTATTCATTTATCTCATTATCAGATTTGTCAGTTTCATAAAATTCATTGTCTTCATCGAGTTCTTCATTAGATTCTTCTTTGTTATCGTTCTTCCTTTCATCATTTTCATCAGATTCTTCATCTTCACTGCCTTCATCAGAATCCTCATCATCAGAATCCTCACTTTCACTATCTTCATATAATTCATTATCATCTGAACTCTTTTCATCATTGTCATCATTCTCATAGATCAAATGGTCTTCACTTCCCAACAAACAATTAGAGATGCCACATTTTTTGAATGCCCAGATAATGATGTCTTCAGAAACATTTTCCCAAGCATTCAAAACCCAGTGACATATCGTACTCAAATCGACATGTTTTAAGTTCCCTTTCTTGGTAATACCATTACTGCTATTCGACATCCATCTATGTCAATACTTGCGAAGCTTATCTTTAAAAGGCTTGTTGATACAAACATCGAGAGGCTGGCACATACTAGTAAGGCCCCCGGGAATAACAGCCAAATCTGTATTTCCTGAACGAAATGAAGCCTTTGTCCGGTCCGTGATATAAGCTAAAAAAGAATCTAAGACTAGCATAGATTTAGAATTATGTAGTTCTGGCCGCACATTGTTCCAATACGTTATTCATCTACTCATTCCTTCTTCATCTATTCATCATTTCTCTTGAAACCAAACTACTATGCCGGCTGGAGGTCGTGATGTGTTAGCTGGCCAAACCTTTCCTTTAAAGATAATAACTGGTGATAACTTTCTGCCATCAGTGAAGCACGTCAAGACAACAGTGAATCTATTTTTATCATTTCCGGTCATTCTAACATGAACAGTTTTGGCACCTTTGGAATTCATGGTCAAACCACCTGCCATGTCGAAGTAAACTGGAGTCTCATCTATGTTTGCAATCATTTCTAGAGGATATTCATTTTTTTGACGAAGATGGATTACAAACCGTTGAAAGCTAAGTAGTTGATTTTCAAGATCTTCAGGTAGCTTTTGAGTGATTTTAGTTTTATGCCTTAGAGAAAGATTATTGTGGTTTAAAAAATGACCAAGCCAGTGAGTTGAGAGCTTGAATTTATTAATTGCAAGCTTTTTAGACACATCATCTGTTTGTTTAATACTCTTATCTAAAATCTCGGCCATTTTTAACTTTATACTAGGATAAGTGACTACAAGACCGTTTCGACGAATTACCATTATCTATTCATATAGTTCAGCTTCCTCTTCAGGGAAAAATACATGATGTCCAGAACCAATGTTTTGGCTGTTTGTTTTAGAAGAGGAGAAAGAGAGATTCTGAGAAAATTTCTTGACTCAACGACCAAGTATTGTTAAATCTAGGAAATAAACTTTTGCTGCATTTGAGTTTGAAGTACGACAGGACCCAAAGAATATATGTAATACTGAGATCTAATTTTGTATAAACTTATTATATAATTTTCAATATGTTATATCTTTAAATTTGTATAACCTACTAGTAATTTTTTGAAAAGTCAGATTTTTATTTGTATAACAAAGATGATCTTTATAACAAGTTAGATCTTTATTTTGTATAATATTGTAGAGAAGT